TAAGCATATTTCCAGATTCAAAAGAAGCTTAAATTACAATGAGAACACAGAATCAAAATAAACCAGGGTGCTTAAAATGTATTTTCCCACGAATTACTCAACCGCGGCAAATCATCATTGATTTTGATAAAATTTGGAAATTAAGGCAAAAATGCTTACTGATTGAAAATTTTGCACTTTTTCATATTATGGTCAGAGTCTGGGGTGTGCGATAGACTTACCTCCACGTGGTGCGCCCTGGGCAACGTATACTCATACGGCAAAAAAGTCTATTAACCGGCAGCTGACTTCTGACTTCAAACTACCATGGCCCGACTGCTTGTCATATTCAACCCCTTCACAGTACTCATCTTACCTTTTTCTCTATCTTTGTGTTTGTCTGCCTCTTTTACATCTGTGAATCGCTCTTCTGTTCCCCACCCCTCGACTTTCTTCTACTTTGATTAACCTTCCCTCTATGAAGCCCGAAGTCAGCTAAATGGCTAATGATAGCTATCAAAACGCCTGCCATTTGAAATAAATAAATAAATGGTCAGAGTCTTGCCAATGGCAAAAGCAGATTAGTTCTCATCACAATGAACTTTGAGTTCTCTCTTCCCTACTATGTCTCCACATCCACTCTTAAATAATTAATGTTTTTCTTCTCATTTTCCTTAACCCTGTGGATAAATTCATTCCGCCTACGTTCTGTTGAGGAAGATAAGTTGAAATGACTCAGTTAGAGATGATTATTGAACAACTCTGCTTGCCTTAGTAGTTAAAGTTGCACGAGATTGAATTGAAAATGAATTTATCCCAGTTAAACGATTAATTTGAATTAGGAAATTTGAGCTTACTGTGGTACAGAAATTGTAAAAATTTTTAATATTTTAAGACCGTAAATGGACAAACTTGGAGAGGTGCTTGAAACGTTTTAAGCTTCAATCAAACTTTCTAAAGCCATTAAAATCGGGGGCAGGAGGTTGGTTCTTGAAATTTTAGAAGAAAATAGATACCAAAACAAAACTGGCCTCTCTCAAACTTACTGAGGGTGCTGGGAAGATCCTTTACAAAAAAATTCTCTTTTGAAAATATGGAAAGCGAAGCACTTTCTTTCGTAAAATCGATATTATTCTAAGAAATATATTGATCGTTTGTGATGGGGCCAATAAAAATGTGTTTGATTCCGGATGGCATATGACAAGCACAAGTTTTCTTCAGTTGTATGATTGCTGGGAGGCAGACAAATATGACGGTTTCATTCATTGCCATTATTATGAATTAAAATTACTTAAATTTTTAATGGAAAAGATATTGTTTTGTAATGGTAATATGGATTGCGTGGTAGACTTAGATTCACATGGTGCACCATATGCAACGTATACTTATGCGGCAAAAAAGTCCATAAACCGGTGGTTGACTTTTGACTTCAAACTACTATGACTCGACACTAGGCCATATTTGACCACTTTCACGGTATTCATCTTATATTTTTCTCTACCTTTGTGTCTGCCTATCACTTTTACATCTACGAATCACTCTTCGGTTACAACCCCCCCCCCTCCCATCTGTAAAGTCCGAAGTCAACTAAAAGGGCTATTGATAACTATCATAGAGTCTGCCATTTGGCATAAATTAATATTAGCAGAGTGGGGTGTGCGATAGACTCACCTCCACGTGGTGCACCCTGGGCAACGTATACTCACGATAGACTTACCTCCAGGTGGTGCACCCTGGACAACGTATACTCAAACGGCACGTGGTGCACCCTGGGCAACGTATACTCATACGGCTCCACGTGGTGCACCCTGGGCAACGTTTACTCATACGGCTCCACGTGGTGCACCCTGGGCAACGTATACTCATAAGGCACCACGTGGTGCACCCTGGGCAACGTGTACTCATACGGCAAGTAAGTCTATCACGTGGTGCACCCTGGGCAACGTATACTCATACGGCAAACAAACTGGTGCACCCTGGGCAACGTATACACGGCAAAAGAGTCCGGGTGCACCCTGGGCAACGTATACTCATACAGCAAAAATGTGGTGCACCTTGGGCAACGTATACTCATACGGCAAAAAACACCCTGGGCAACGTATACTCATACGGCAAAAAAGTCCATTGACCGGCAGTTGACTTCACACTTCAAACTATCATCACCCCACTGTAAGTCAAATTCCACCACTGTCACAGTACTCATCCTACCTTTTCTCTGCCTTTGTGTCTGTCTCTTTTACGTCTGTGAATTAATCTTCTGTTCCCACCCCTCGAATTTTTGTTACTTTGATGTTTCTTCTCCTCTTTGAAGCCCAATGATAACTATCAAAACGACTGGCCTTTGAAATAAATAAATAAAAATAAATATTAGCAAAGTTGAGGTTCAACTTATGACATCGACTAAAATGACAGTCTTTGCATCTTATAGGAATTTTATAAAAAATTTGGCAAAAAAAATATTTTAGAAGTAATAATATGCCGAGAGAGTCCAATAAATTAATGAATTCTTCCTTTGAAATCGACTGCTTTTCAAGTGCCTATTGTAAGTATTTTCCATTAAATCTCAAACTCGTGGTTAAAATTAAAAAAAAAGTAAAAATTAAAGTCTCCTTATGGACTCGCGATGGGCGTTAATTTATTCAAAATCTGCCTTTGAGGGTACGGGATTGTGAAAGTAACTGCAGCTTAAGAGAGAACCGAACCAAAGCTGGGCTAATTGAAGTGACCTGAAGTCTCATTTGACTTGCTAAAAGGGTGAATTAAGATTTAAAATAGCCTTAATTAGGTTTGAGTTCACTCCTTTTACAAAAAATGATCTACAATGATATATATATATATATATATATATATATATAATAGCTCACAATTTAAGTAACAGCTACCTATCGTCGTGCCAAAGGTTATTACATTGATGCCAATTGGTGAATAACATTAGATCAAAATGTTTGAGAAGTTTCCGGTCACTGAAGAGTTCCTCAGTGGGAAAAAGGTGTAGGGTGTTGGTTAAAGGTCTGTTATTAGAATGAAATAAATAAATAAATAGAGGGGATATTTTTAGCTGGAATACAACAATGGAGGCATTGAATCCCGTATAAAAAAAAAACTTCAAAAGTGGAAGAAACGCATTCAGATTTACATTGGCAGATGATTCCAAACGTAAGAAGTGATTGAAGGAAAAATTTCCGATCAACTACCACAAGCACCCTTTATCAAGTAATCAATGCTCTTTCGTACTTAGGATAAGACAGTCTGAAGAACGCCCGATATGGAGCCATTTTATAACTGAAAACCAACTTTTCCCGAACCCCCTCCCCCCCCCCCTCCCTCAATCACGAGATATTTGAGGACATATAATGGTCAAAGAGGCTCGAAACGATTAGTACCCCCCTCCCCCCTCCAACCCCCAATCCCCTATTTCACTCACACTCACCTCTTGTATTTGCCCTAAGGGAACACTCCAACACATCACAAACAAGTTAATGCTGCTTTCAGTATCAGGCAAGCAACAGAGGTATTGATGTTAAAGTAGTAAGCCTGATGGTTGCAGTATATGTGTGGTGGTGGCGGTGGTCTGCCAGTGTGTTTGGGGACCAATAAGGATCAAGTCATTCTATGCAGACTGATCGCATTGGCTGGCCTTTTGGCCAACGCATCACGCGCGTTTATTGAAAATGCGATACACAAAGAGTGGGAGAAGCAGTGGATGCTTTAGTAGACCAGCAACTACGCTTCACTGCCCTAACTGGTTGGCAAAAAGTGGGAGCAGGAGGAGGAACGGGCATTAGAAAATTAAATTTCCGTGTGGTATTAAATAGTAGTAGAATAAAAAAGGGGAATTAGTTATATTTTACATAATATCAGCAAACTAACCTTGCTTGATGCCATATCGCTGACAGACCGATGGGTCTGGATGCTTTCCAATCTCTCTAGACACCACTCTAATTCCTCCAGCGTCTCAAGCGCAAGATTAGTTGACTGTTCGTCATCGACTGAATAGGGAAAAAGTCACGATTAGCTGATGAGTCATATACAGGCTGGAGGCAAAGAAAGTATGCGTGTAAATACGCACCAGTGAAGGACATTCTTCGGGGCTCCTCTGTATGGGATGTACCAAACCTAGAGCTGTAAGGGAAGGTAAGTCGATTAAAATCCCATAATTTATTGAATGACAGGGGGGGGGGGAACAGAGTGGAGGCGGCGAGGGTAAGGTAAGAGGTCACACAGCCAGCGTCAAACGATAAGGTCAAAGTAGATCATAAAATATATATGCACCCCTCTTCTGGCCCACCCAAACTAACCGTATAGCTATAGAACTGAAAAAAAATAACTGCTTCAATCACCCTCCCTACATATCTCCTAAAACCAGGTTGAAGGTCTTCGTTCTCAAGTTCCATTTCCAGGGCAATACATTCGGTAAATTACTAGGTAACCTTGTTACAAGTCATGGAGAAGCTAAAGCAATAACTTAATCCTCTTCTGAGTCATCACTATCATTGCTCTAAGCCAATTTCCTTCGGAGTAGGGAGGTTGGAACTCCAATTATTTCCAATTTTCCCAAACCTTGAGAAAATTCATATTAAAGCAACTAAAATAAGAATGAAGATAAGGGGTAGGTAGGAACCATATACCTCCAAATTAACAAAAAATCACACTCATAAATATGTTGTCGAAGATGAGGAGGGGGGGGGGATTAATTATTTTAACTCTCAAATTAAAAATGAAGTTAAAATGGTCTTTGGCAAAGAAAATTATCGAACGAGCAAAAGGAGAGCATGAGCTTACCTCATTAGTGAATCTTGATCCAGGGAAAATATCTTAATAAGAGTAGTTTTAGGCAAGAAATCAACTTAACGATGTCCTTCTAATCGGTTATCAGAATTACTGGCAATTATTTTTTAATCAACCATGTAATAGATAACTCTACTCAAGGTGGGCATGAAGCAGGTATTTCCCAACCTCAAGGATGACTCAGCGTACCCAACCTAAGCATCTTAGTCACTAGAAGACTTATAAAATTTGGCGACCTTGAGTCAACCAATTAAAGAGCCCGAGTGCTTAAAATTAAACCATGCCTCTTCAAATCAGGTGTGTTGATTAAGATCTCTTAAAGCACATCTCCTAAAGTTCATAAAATGAGATTGCCTAAATTCTATGCTATTCGGGGTGGGAGCACTAACATCACAACTGCGTTGCAGTACTTTTAAATCCATAAATATCTAACTAGGGAGGAGCATCTTAAGGACTTATTTCCCTGTTATCGACGAGGAGACGATGAGTATGCTTTAATTACAGAGAGCAAAGAGAAGAAGACGAACTTCGATGAACGCTAATAGTAGTATGAAGGACAAAGGGAAAGCCATCACAATGCCGAAACAATTATAATCACAGACAACAAAAGATCAATTATGTAGTTGCGCAAAACAAAGGAAACGCAAAGAACAAAGGCGATGAAAACGCGAACAACAAGAAAAAGCAGCTTACTCTTTCGAGCTTTGGACGTTTGTGAGAGAAATAAAATTGGACCGGACTTTTCGAAGGCTGGCCAAGATTTGGGCGAATGGAGTGACAATAGTCTCATCTGTATGGCTAAAAATGTAAAGAGATTCCCTTCGTGAGTGAAGTGAGGTATCCATTCCCTGTAGAAGAGTAGTTTGCACCTGGGAGTCCCCAATTTCCCCTTTGGCCTGTGTTCGACCCCGTGGCATAAAATTAAGCCTCGGAAAACCCATTCCCCTTTCATTTTTCCGTAAAAGCATCCGCTTACGAAATGACGAGCCTGAGGAATGGTGCTTAATAAATCCGCTCTTTTTTCTTCCACTAAAAGGCCTTTTAATAGAGGAGGAATCTTCGGTGGCAACTACGGTAGAGGGCTTGTTTTCAACAGGGGTTCCAGAGGCTACTTTCCGACGAGAACTCATTTCTCCAAAGGATTTAGAGACTGCCTGCGTGCTAATACCTGAACTCCGTCTACTATGTTCCAAATCTACAGATTCGGCGACAGCTAATCTGGCTGTTGATTCAACAACCAGAGTAGGACGCCTTCCAGTTTCAAGATCGACCTCAAAGTAGGGAGTTGAATGTCGTCGAGATAGAATATCTGCAGTATGACCGTTGGATTTATTCCACGATGGTCGCCGACAGTCGTCGCAACAAAGACTGGCTAAGCTGGAGCCTGGTTCAGTCGATACAACAGGAAGAAGATCTGCAGATACTTTGGAATGGCGTTTTATCTCGATTATTTTTGACTCTTTTCGGCTGATTACACAACAAAATCTCCACATAAGAAAGCTGTTTAACTAACACCTCAGAGTTAATAGTAGTGTCTACAAAAAATCCTCATTTTTGGGGAAGGATATAATCCAATACACGGAGTCGATATTTTAAAATCAATTGAAATTCCGAATTTAATAAACAGATTTGTGTGGCTTTACCGAACTGAGCAACTACATGCTCTAATGGACAATTTATGTGGTCGTGCAAACACGCTTGGTGGTACTACGCACTCACTAACGCATACATGCGCGTAAATATGAGGATATTTATGAGTGGAGAAAGGGCAGTCACTCCGCACGCATGCAATACGTGCGGAAGATTATGAGTGGACAGGACTACTAGCACGTGCGCTTTAATACACACGTGCCTTCCCTTTGGAGGTGTGTGCGTGCGTACATGTGAGGCAGACATACACACGTGAGAGCCCTGGCCAATGGGTGTGCGCTAATATACTTTGCATTGATGGGATTGGTAGATCAGCTGGCATGTGCCTTGATTTGGGAGCAGACTAAACCCAAATGCGCTTCACCAAGCCATCATACCATTTATCTCTAGTTGTTTGCAGCTTTCACGTAATTCACTCATCTTGATCTAGAGTTTTGATTGGCCATGGGATGGAGTAGTTTCTAATACACCTTTATAATAGTTTGAATGCGATTAGCTCGAGTGTAAGTTACTTCAAATAGAGTCAAGTTTCGCGTTTAGCTCTTTTTAAGAACTATTAATACAGAACATTATTTTTTTACAATAAGTAAAGTTATAATATGTTTTTCAGTGAGAGCAAAGATAGGATTACTGATTTTATTCGCGCTTTGCGAATATATTACTGAAAATCGATTATTAAATTAACCTGATTTGTGATTAGGCGAAGAATTCGCTTGTGGACAGTAGATTGCAAAATATAAATAATAAAATCAGGTGGTAACTGTAAAAGTTATGAAAATTTATTCAAAACAAGTTTATTAAGGGGAAGTTAAGCGTGGAAATTGTAGGCAAATAGTACTACTAATGAATGGCTTCCACTAACATCCGGAGTGGTGAAATTTTGCAATGAATCAGAATCACTTTATTTGGCCTCACCAACTCGGATTAAAAGCAGTACCAATGTTAGCGTAAGATAAAATCGGTAGGAATCTTAATGGCAAAATGACCAAATGGATGAATTTTCTAAAAACTATATATCAACGTGGGAATACTTTTCGACAAAATGTTCATAAATAACTAAGCACTGTTGAAAATCAATATATATATATATATATATATATGAGAAGTATATGAATTCGGAATTTGAAAAATTATGAAATTTGTTGTTATTAAAGGTAAAACTATAATAACAAGTTCCTCGATAAACCGCGAACACTATGCACGCTTTCAAAATGCGTAAGAGGAGGTTTCTTTCTTATTTTTATGAAAATCAGAGATGGCTTCTAAATAAAATAATTATAAAAATTACGCAAATTTCTTACGATAAAATGGGTTTGAGGTAAAAATTCAGTTTCGAATTAATTAAATATTTAAATTATATTGCAAATAAACAGTTATTGTAAAAGCCGTACCTATCGAACATTTGCAAAATTTTTAATTCCAATCCGCCAAAAGTATAAATCAATATATATGTCAAATATATCATATGAACTTATTAAACAAACGAATTTTATATATTTTACTTAAATATTATTAGTAAGCACCATTAGAACTAAGATAAACGGCTGTATTTTGTGGAACATTTAGTTACAGCTTGCACGAGTGTTTAACTAGAAAGTAATTACATAACAATTTTATTCGGTGCTATTTAGCCCTGGTAAAAGCACACTCATAAAATTTTCTCATTAAATCTACATTTAAATGAGAATTTGAAATTGGTCTGACAATAAAAGTTTTTCTCAGCTTGTCTCCCTGCATAACGGCATTAAATTACAACTTCTATCAATTTGCAAGATTAGGCGATTGAATCCAATTAAATTGAATATGCAGCTTGCAAAATAAGTGATCTTTAATAAAACAAAGATTAAAATATCATTCTCGGGATTACTGTTCCACAATTCACATGGTTAGTCTACTTCAAGGCCAACTAACATGAAAAATTTCTGGAAATGATGTTTATCATTAATATGTCGAGAAGAGAAGACGAAGGATTAGAATACATAATCCTACCGTCTACATTCCTGAATATTAACACTACGCATCTTTCTCACATGCTGTCCTAATGTTTAGTGAATTCTAGCTTAAAAATGTCCCAGTGAAAAGCCATAAATACTGCAAATACGAGGTTAAGATTTTAGCTAAGCAACTGATTGGTGGTAATAATGATATTGGAAAACGATAACACCGTACTGGTACAGGGATGAATCACAGATAGAATGTGACAGAGTGCAAATTTATTGATAAATAGATAGTCCAGTTCAAAAGTTATTATCTATCTGAGCAAAGTAATTGACTAATTTCGACAAAATAGGGCGTGTAAAATAATCTTCTCGCTGAGTTATATCAATAAATTAAAGGTAAATACCCCAACTACCGTTCTAGGCGATATGCATTAGGGAACATCATGAGCATATTTAAGTAGGAACAGCCACATTACTGACTTTATTTATGCAAATTAACTTTTTAAACATTGTTAAAGCATTAGTTATTTGAGTGGGTGAGTCAAGGTTTAAAAAATAACATTTACCTTGATCAAAGACCACTTTGTGGTTTATCGAATTAACTACAACAATCCTTATCCTATTAGATTTGAAGTAACCAATCACTTTCAAGAGACTAGACGCTTTTAATGACAAACTTAAATAAATCAAAAAATGAAGTTAAATACCTTTGTATAAAAATTGATCATAAAGTTTCAATCTAATTTGAATACTAATTTCTGAGAGAACATAAAAAACTATTGAGATGGAAGATTGTTCAATATTTTCATCATCTACGATTTTCAATACCTATAAAGACTAGATAGCGAATCACAATCCTAGTCCATAGAATTAATAGAATGTAATGATTATTTGAAAGGTAGCCTAAAAATCATAGAAAATATGAGTAATTCAACTCACACAAACACATCTGAACAGTGAAGCGAAGGAGACAAAATATATAGGGAGATTAATGTTCTCCTGAGGAATCCAAAATCATGAGCTTATTACTCACCATTGCACACTCACCAAGTGAAATTACCAATCGATCTGATTATGTCTGGCGGATAAAGGAGATAAGTCTCCATGACTATGCATGTCCGCTGTGGATGTTTGAGGGTGATGTTTTTCTTGAATGAGTTCGAGAGACGACTATTTCTTTAACAGGGGTAAATTTTATTCAGACATACATCTGTTGACTCTAAGCATTTCGTTTTTCAAAAAAATTGACAATGTGTTTAAGTTTCACAAAAGATGAGCATTTTAGATGCTGTTAAAAACAGTAATATTGGAAAACTATAGTTGTATATTCACTATGAGGTGTGTTTGATAGACTTACCTCCACGTGGTGCACCCTGGGCAACTTATACTCATGCGGCAAAAAAGTTTATAAACTGGCAGTTAAATTCTCACATTAAACTACCATCACCCCACTCTATGTCATATTCCACCATTTCAGCAAATCTCGTCTTACCTTTTATTCAACCTTTGTGCATGTCTGTCTCCTTTAAATCTGTGAATCATTATTCTGTCCCCCTCTCAACGTTTTGTCACTTTGATGTTCCCCCCTCCTCCTCTGTGAGGCTTGAAGTCAGCCAAATGGCTAATGATAACTATCAAAACGCCTGCCACTTGAGATAAATAAATATTCGCTTTGACGGTAGAAGGACAATGTGAAGTCAGCGGGAATCAGTGTCATTAACTGTTGACCGTTTCACATACTTTAAATCCTATCTAGTCACCAATATACATATAATGTGATTGGCTAGATTTCGGATTTTTTGTTTAGAAATCGACATTGTGTAATTTGCAGTAAATAACCCCGTTTCTAGTCAAAATTAAGAAAATTATTAATATTTAGGAAGGATAACGTTGCCTCTTGTTAGTAATTTGTACCTTAGGAGTAGGTTTAATTGTTATTTTAAAGAAACCAATGTTTCAGCAAAATCGCTTTGGAGGAAAAGAGACACTTAGTGAAAAAGTGCTTTACTAAACAGTTAGATTTTACACTGGAGCTGCAAAGAACCCTAGTCCAGAGGTCCAGTGAACTGCTAGAAGTATGCAAGCAGTCAAACAGCACGAATTCAAGCAAAATTGATGCACGATTTGTGTTTGAAACAGTCATCAACAATCAGCAGAGGTAAATGAAATTACCTAACTACAAGTGTTAGGTATGCAGAGTTAACTTGACTTCAAGTAAATTTACTAAGTTTATTTAACATCTTTCGAGCACTAAATGGAAAGTGATGCCACTACTCAAGTTTTAGACAATGTGAGTTTCAAATGCTTCTTTTATTCCTCTTTCTAATTACTTCTTTAATGTCTCACTATATACGATTTCATTAAATGTGCAAACAAACGTGAATATTTGGTGGTGGAAATCATGAGCTAACACAGCTATCTTCTGACCGGCAAAAGAGTCTTGGTAACAAATATTTAAAATAGTTTATTAAGGTAGTGATAAAATACTTGATTTTATGATCAAGATATGGGGTCATTATTACTCCGAGTAATTTGTTTACAGAGGGGCGTGATATAGACTTACTTCCACGTAGTGCACCCTGGGCAATGTATACTCATACGGCAAAAAAGTCTATAAACCGGCAGTTGATTTCTGACTTCAAATTACATGATCCTAACCCTATGTCATATTCGACCACTTCTACAGTACTCATCTTTTCTCTACCTTTGTGCCTGCCTGTCACTTTTACATCTGTGAATCACTCTTCTGCTCCCCCTCTCCACTTTTTCTCACTTTAATGTTCCTCCCCTCTGTGAAGTCCGAAGTCACCTAATGATAACTGTCAAAACGCCTACCATTTTAAATAAATAAATAAATAAATGATTAATATATTCAAATTCCACTTTTCCGTCCCACTTCAAAT